CTCCAGCCATCCTTGCCATCCACTGACCAGTGAACTTGCAGCTCCAACCTCTGCTTCCATCCTCACAACTTTCCATCCTGTTTCTTAGTCTCTGGTTTCTTTTCCTCTAAAGACAGCAGCTGTTGGAGTATAGCCCACGCTGATTCAGTATGGCCATGTATTAACTAATTATACCCGCAAAGATCTTATTTTCAAAAACTATGTCACACTATGAAGTTTCACATGCATATGAGTTTTGGGGAGACACTGCTCAGCCCAGTACATGAGGGGGTCATCTGGACTGAGTCCAGTGTGACCATGTGAAGAGGTGAGAGCAAGAGAAGGAAGCTGGTGTGCCGGAGGGTGGCTCAGAGCTGAGCTTGCAGCCTCAGGGACATCATGGGTTGGAGCTGCGTCTGTTTAGGTAAGGCCCAGTCAAAGGCATCCCAGGAAGAGAAAGGAAGAGAAAGGAGCATAGCGCTGTTCTGAAGAACCTGTATGGAAGCTCCAGCTTTACTATCTGCTGGGCTTAGGGTATCAGTGAGCCCAGTCCCCCAAGAACTGTCCAGGTCCCTACCTCCACTTGCAAGACATAGATGAAAAATGGAATCATGGCCCCTTTCCTACTGTAGGCTAAGCCCTAAGTGCTTCTGAGAAGAGGAACAAAGACTACAGTGTTACAAAGCTTAGCGTGCTGACTGTATCACACAACAGCTGGTAGTTTGCATCTAGTGGTGTACACTACATATATGCCCCGCAACATGGCATTATCCTAATTAAAGACCTGAGTCTATTTTAGGCTTGAAATTAACCAGTGAGCTTGCTATCATCTGAGTGTGATCATGACCAGCCAGCATTTGTGTTCTTTGTTAAAGGAAATCTCCATGTGAGGTTGTTTAAAGAGCACAAGAAATAAGTATATTTCATGAATTCTTGGTGACTCTGTTCATTTAATGCTTCCTTTTCAATGTGTTTTCTTAAAAGTCGGAGTTATGCCAACACAGAAGCTACCTTATAAAGGGTTAGAACAGAATGTTCCTAACCCAAGACATGCTTTGGAGTGTAAAGCAGTGTCCTTCTCTGTCCTCTAAGGCACTAGTAATGTCAAACTGGGTGGTGTCCCCGGGACCCCGAGTGAGGTCAAATAAGGAGGGGGAAATAGAGTGACTAAGCAAAAAGGGAAGAGAAAGCTGAGGCGGGCAGGTGACTTTCACAGTCGTAGCAGGCCTGCAGAGCTCTGCTTTGGAAGAAATAGCAACAGCCTTTCACAAGATGACACACCTTTTCCAATTTAACCGTGACCTAGTTACTGAAACCTGGCAAAAATACTGTGCCTTGCTCTCTGCACCCCACACGGAGGGCCCTGGTCGCTCTCAGAGCTGTGCTTAGCAAATCCTGCCATCTAGCGCCCTTGGCCCAGCGTGTCGCACAGTGGCTGGGAACCAGCCTAGAAAAATCAGCTTGTTTTTCTTCCCCTCCCCCCACCCCAGGCTGTTCACAAAGCCATTACCTCTCCTGCACCCTGGCTCAGAGAAAAATAAGGCTCAGATTTCTTACCTGTTCATTTAGCTTGTTTTACCTTCTGAGGCAGATTTTATTTGGCTTTTGGAAATGCCAATTTTCTGTTGAGTGCAAGCCAAGGGAGTGTCTATTTGGATACCAGAAGAAAGAATGCGAGGGTCCTAGGCAAACGAAAACTTGGAAGTACCCCAACTCCTGTCTAGTGTCACAAACTGAAAACCCTGGACCTTCAATCTAGAGAAGAAAGCAGACACACAAGAGGGAGAGTGCTTAACAGGGTGCTGCTGGGTAAAAGAGTCCCCTGTCTCCTCCTGCACAGGGTCCCTGTAGCAGTCTCAGAGGACAAGTTTGGTTTGGTTTGTGAGCCACTAATGTATGTGTGTGAGCAGATGTGCAGGTGGGCTGTGAGCTGGGCTTGCAGGTGATTATAAGAAGCAAATGATGGTAGCACCTGGCAGCCAGAGGCTTGTTGAGGCAACAGTATGGCCACACACCCGCCTCTTGTCTGAGAGCTCCGCTTATTCACGTTTTCTTTTTTTAGGGGATGAGAAGACAGACTTCAGAGCGCTGAGATGTGAGCCCTGATCTTGCCTCCTACTAGTGATTAGATCTGTTTTCCTCAGGCAGCCCTCATTGCTAATGGGCACTAAGGTTATTTAAAGAATTAAACAACATAATACATGCAAGGGGCCCATGCAGGTTACAGCATTCAAACACAGCAGCTGTTTGGGTGGTCTGACCGTAGTTACTGTGATAAGCTGAGTGGTCCCACGCCAGGCCCCAAAGAGGACCGCATCTCCATGCCCAAGTCAGTGCACAGTAACTGTTAGTTTTCTAGGGCTGCCATAACAAAACAGCATACATATGGCGGCTTAAGCAATAGAAATTCACTTTCTTACTTTCTTGGAAGAGCAAGATGTTAGCAGGTTCTCTTTCTTTGGCTTGTAGGTGGCTACCTCCTCAGTGTGTCTTCACAAGGTCTTTCTTCTGTTCATGTCTGTGTCCTAATCTCCTCTATGTTAGATTAGGGCCCAGCCATATGACCCTGTTTATGTATTAATTACCTCCTTAAAAAGCTATTTCCAAATCTAGTCGCCGTCTGAGAAGAGAGGGATTGGAATTTCAGCATATGAGTTCTGGGGGAAGACAGTTCAGTTCGTTAGAGTTCCCTTCCATGGGAGCAGGGATTTACCAAGTGTTACCAGTTATCAAGGATCTTGAGATGGAGATGATCCTGGATTACCAAAGTGGACTCAGTGTAATCCCAAGGGTTCTTACAACAGGGAGGGAAAAGGACAGGGTCAGTGAGAAGGCCATGAAGTGACGGAAACAGAGGGTAGAGCTTCGCGTTGTGAGGATGGGGGAGAAGCCACAGGCCAGAGAGCGCAGGTGGCTGGAGAAGTTGGAAGCAGCAGGGGAGCACATTGCCCTCTGGAGCCAACAGCAGGAAGGCAGCACTGCCAGCACCTTCACTGTAGCCCAAGGAAAGGGCATAAGATTTCCATCCTTGAGAGCTGTAAGATAAGATGTTTGCTTTGTTTTAAGACATTAAATTTGTGGTAATTTGCTCCTTTCCCCCACACAGGAACAGCTTGCCCAATTAGCAACATCCCACACTGAAGTGGTATATTTATTACAACTTCTGGTCCACATGGACATGCCACCATCCCACAAAACCCATAGTTTACAATACGGCTCATTATTGATATTGTACGTTCTGAATATGAGCAAATATGCAATGTCGTAAATCTACCATTATAGTATGACACAGAGTAGTTTCACTGTGCTAAAAAACCCCAATAATGCATCTACTGACCTCTCCCTTCCTTCTAAGAAAAGGGAAAACACTAACCATTTTACAGTCTCTAGAGTTTTGCCCTAGCCAAAATGTCATCTAGTTGAAATCCCAGTGTACCTTTTCAGATTGGCTTCTTTCCTTCAGCAACTGACATTTATGTTTGCTCCATGTTTTTCATGGATTGATAGCACCTTTCTCTTTCATGCTGAATAATATTTCATTGTCCACTTGCACTATGGTTTATTTATCTGTTTTCCCATCCAGGGACACCTTGGCTCATTCCAACTTTGGGCAATTATTAATGAAGCTACTGTAAATATCTGTGAGCAAGTTTTTGTGTGACTATGTTTCAGATTCATCTGGGTAAATCCCAAGGCCTGTAATTGCTGAACCAGAAGGTAAGAGTATGTTTAGTTCTGTAAGAAACTTCTGAACTGTCATCCAGTGTGACCGTACCACTGCACATTCCCGCAGCAATGAACCGAGTCCCTGTCAGTCCCCATCCTCATTGGCTTCTGGTGTTTTGGTTTTGGCTATTCTAATAGATGTGTAGGTATCTCATTGTTCTAATTTGCAGTTCCTTAGTGACAGATGACACTGAACATTTTTTGTATGCTTATTTACCAGCTGTATAGCTTCTTCAGTGAGATCTATGCACATCTTGAGGTTGAGCAGTGTCTTCTCTGGCATTCTTATCTTTCAATATTGAGGTATCCTTTCTGGATTATTTATATCTCCCTGCAAGCTCTAAAATCAGAGTTGATCACCACAAAATAACTTACTGGGATTGTGTTGAATTTAGTTTATTGAGGAAAAACTGACAGCTTTACAATGTTAAAACTTCCTTCCTGTCCATGACATACAAGTCTTCACTTTTAGAACTTGATATCATCATGAGAGCTTTGTAGTTTTCCTTCTGTAGACTTTGTGTGCATGGTGTTAGATTTAGACCTTTCTATTTTGGTGGGTGCTAACACAAATGGCAATATGTTTTTGGTTCCAGCCCTTGTTCACTGCTGGTATGGAAGCCAATGACTGGTTTTTGCACATTAGCCTTGCTCTGCTCAGTTATTAGTCTTCAGAGATTGTTGTCAGTTCATTCAGATTTGCTTTTATCTTCTAGAAAAGATTGGAGAGAATTGGGATAATTTGTTCTTTCAATGATCTGTAGAATTCACCAGTGAACACATCTAGTGGGTTCCTATTTGGAAAGTTCTTGACTCAATTTCTTTAATAGCAATAGACCTATTCACACTGTCTATTTCTTTATGAATGATTTAGGGTAGACCATGCCATGTAAGGAATTGGTCCTTTGCATCTAGGTTATCAAATTTGTGGGTATAGATTTGTTCATAGTATTCATTTATTATCCTTTTAGTGTCGTGGGAGCTGTCATGATGTCCTATCTTTTATTTCTGACACTGGCAGTTGTGTCCTTTCACTATTTTGCTAGCTGGCTTAGCTGGAGGCTGATTGATTTTATTGACCTTTTCCAAGAACCAGCATTTGGCTTCATTGATTTTTCTCTGTTTATTTTCTGTCTTTAATTTGATCAATTTTTGCTTTAACTTTTATTGTTTTTCTTCAGTTTACTTAGGATTTAATTTGCTCTTCTTTTTCTGGTTTCCTAAGGTGTAAGCTTAGATTATTGATTTAAGATATTTCTTCTCTTTTTTATGTACTCTCAGGATTCTCCCTAAGTGCTGCCTTCACTACATGCCGTGTACTTTGGTAAGTTGTATTTTCATTTTTATTCACTTAAATACATTTTTAAAAATTACTGTTGAGATTTCTTCTTTGGATCATATTCAATTTAGAAGCTTGTTGCTTAATCTTCAAATATTTTATCAGTTTCCAGATATCTTTCTGTCGCAGATTTCTAGTTTAATTCCATTCTGGTGGTCTGAGAGTAAATATTGTATAATTTCTATTTTTTAAATTTGTTAAGATGTGTTTTATGGCCCAGAATCTGGTCTATTTTGGTGGCTATTTCATGTGAAGTTGAGAAGAATGTGTAATCTGCAGTTATTGAATAAAGCAACCTGTAAATGTCAATTACATCCATGTGATTAATGGTACTATTGAATTCAGCCATGTGTTTACTGATTTTCTGCCTACACAATCTATTTCTGATAGAAAGGTGTTAAGGTTTCTGGTTATATGGGTAGATTCATCCATTTCTCCTTGCAGTTCTATCAGTTTTTGACTCACAGAGCTTGATACTCTGTTGTGGGACACATATACATTAAGAATTATTTGTCTTCTTGGAAAATTGAGCCCTTTATTATTATGTAATCCCTTCTTCATCCCTGATGTCTTTCCTTGCTCTGAAGTCAGCTCTGACTGAAGTTAATACAGCTATTCTTGCTTTCTTTTGATTAGTGTCAGCACAGAATAGTTTTCTTTATATCTTTTACTTTTAATCAACCTATGTCTTTATATTTAAAGTGGGTCTTTTTGTAGACAAGATAAAGTTTTTGTTTCTTTATTTTACCCTGAAAGTATGTCTTTTAATTTCTGTGTTTACACACTGATGTTTAAATGGATTATTGATGTAGTTGGATTAACATTATCATTTTCATTATTGCTTTCTATCTGTTGCCCTTGGTCATTGTTCCCATTTTTGCCTTCTACACTTTTTTCTTCTTTTTTGGTTTTTGTTGAGCATTCTACATAACTCTATTTCCCTCCTTTCTTAGTGTATTTCGTTTTGGTACAACTTGCAGCGATTGTCCTAGACCTTGTCATATACATTTATAGCTAACCCCACTTCCAAATAATTGATAGTGCAATTACCTTATAGTAAGTGATTATATATTATTATAATATATAAAATATTTTACATTTCTCCCTCTTGTTTCTATGTGATTGCTATCATTCATTTCATTTATACATAGGCATATACTATATATTAGAATACACTGCCACTGTTATTATTTGGATCAGACTGTTGTCTGTTAGACCAATTTAAAAATGAAAAAAATGTTTCCACCTCTTTCTGTTTCTCTAATGCTCTTCAGTTCTTTATGTAATCAAAGTTTCTGACCTACATCATTTTCCTTCTGTGGAAAGAATATCCTTTAACATTTCTAGCAAGGCAGGGATACTGGAAGCAAATTTCATCTTTCTTTCTCCTTGACTTTTGAAAAATAATTTTATAAAGTACAGAATTTGAGATTTGTGGGGGTTTTTTCTCTCTTAACATTCCAGATATTTTACTTCACTCTCACCTTGCTTGCATAGTTTCTGAGAAAAACTCAGGTATAATTCTTATCTTTGTTCCCTTTTAAGTGAAGTACTTTCCCCCTCTAGATTCTTTCAGAGAATTTGTGTTTGTGTTAGTGAGACTCTGGTTACTAAAACAGATACCTGCGATAACAGCATATGAGGACAACAGGTTGGTTTGGGTCCAGAGTCTTGAGTCCTTGATTGGTTGGCCAACTATGAAGCAGGATATCATGGCAGAGGACACTGAGGAGCAAAGCCACTCAGTACACAGCAACAAAGAAACAGAGACAGGGGAAGGAAGACATTGAGATCCCACTGGCCCTCCCAGGGCAGGCTCCCAAACACAGAAGACCTCCCACCAAAACCCATTTCTTAAAGATTCTCCAATAGTGCCACAGGCTGGGGACCCAACATTTAACACACAGGCCTTTGGGGGACAGTCAGAGCTAAACTATAGCAGCCCTTGATTTTCTGAATTTTCTGTGCAGTGTGCTTGCTTTGGCAACCAACATTAATCTGGGGAAATCCTCACTTACTCTTGCTCTAAATATCACTTTTGTTCTTTTCCCTCTTTCCTTCTTTCCTTCCTAGTATTCTCACTGCACACACATTTCACCTTCTGGACTTGTCCAACAGTTCTTGGATATTCTGTTCTGTTTCCTTTAATCTTTGTTCTTTGCTCCCCAATTTTGATATTTCTGTAAATTCATCTTCAACCTTAGAGATTCACTCCACAGTCTCATCCAGTCTGTTAATGACTGTAGGGCCATCAGAGGCATTCTTTGGCCAGGGATATAGCTCAGCGGCACAGCACCTGCCTGGCAAGCATGAAGTTATAAGTTCAATTCCCGGTACAGAAAAAAAAAAAAGGAAGATGAAAGAAAGGAAGAAAGAAAGAAAGAAAGAAAGAAAGAAAGAAAGAAAGAAAGAAAGAAAGAAAAAGAAAAAAAGGCATTCTTCATTTCTATGACAGAGTCTTTGGTTGCTAGCATCTCCTTTGGCTTTTTCCTTAGAACTTCTGGCACTCTGACTATATTATCCATCTATTTTTTCATACTGTCTACTGTTTCCATTGGAGCCCTTAGCATACTAGCCATCACTTCAACAATGATCTTGATTGCTCTAGTTTGACTGTCCCCTCTCATATACATGTTGAAGTTTAATTGCCATTAGGTTTTTAGTAAGAGCAGAGCCTTAAAGAGGGATGTGGTCATGGGCACACCACCCTCATGGGTGGAGTAGGGCTGGCTTAAGTCTGCTGGGTTTATGATGAAAGGGGAACACTTGGCCCAATTTTCTCTCTTTCTCTCTCTTGTCTGTTCCCTTGCTTCACACTCCCTCCACTCATAAGATGCATCCAGAGTGCTCTCCCTGGATGTGGCCCCTCAGTGTTCCTTGCTTGCAGGAAACCTACCTGTTTAACAGCTGTTCAGATGTATGACTGGCCACTCGGACTCGCTACTTGTCTTTTTTCCCTACAGTTCTGTACATCCTGTTTATAGTGCTTTGATGTCTTTTTTTGTAGAGTACCTCTTGTGTGTGCAGTACTGTAATTTTTGCTGATGGTACTGTGTAGTACAATACTGTAGTTTCATGTTCTGTTATATATTATAGTGCTGCATGTGAGAGTTATGTAAATAAGAGCAGTCATGAAGCTGGAGTTTCCTGTGACCATTTCTTTGTTCTGAATATCATAATATACATACTATTCACAATTCCTCAATCAATGACCAAGTTTTAATAACCTAGTTGCCAGAATGGGACTCATTTGTTAAATGGGGAAGATATATACTTCCCCACCTCTAGAATCGTGAGCCAAATAAAGTCCTATTATTTAAAAATTATCCACTATGCAATATTTCATTATAATAACAGAAAATGAACTAAGATACTACAACATAAATCTGACAATTCCAAAATTCCCTGTATCTACTCTGGTTTTGATACTGCTCAGTCTCTTCAGAGTGTGTGTGTGCTTTCCTTTTAGTATGCTTTGTAATTTCTCTGAAAGGTAGACATGATATACGTGGATGGTGTTCCCTGTGAGGACCTGGTAGACGTTCTAGAGGTAGAACTCATATAGCCTGGGGCACACCTACACCTCTAAAAGGGTCTCCTGGAGTTTGATTCTCAGACTTATCTACCTTAAGCCTACAGAAATCTGTTGATGTAATTCAGGTTTTCCTACCCCAGCACTGGTTCCCAAGAAGGTTTATGCCTATAGATGTCTGCTGTGGTCAGTTGTGATCCTCCATATCCATTGACCTGTCTCCCCAATTTTGGGGGATGTCAGTTTTTCCTGTGACCCCATTTTTCTGACAGGTCTAAGAAGCTGTTGATTTTTCAGTCTGGTCAGCTTCTTACTTTATTTTAAGACAGAGTAGGGATTCTAAGCATCTTGCATGCAGGACTAGAAAATTGGAGTTCTTTTTTATAAAAAAGAAATCTCCTCCCGGTCAACAGTCCAAAGATTCAGGCAGGTGGAGCCTATGAGTAATCAAACTACTGATTGAAAAACTGATAACTAACTGATAACTTTTCAATAATATTTTAGGAATAAGTAGATATCTTTTGAAACAAAATAGAACTGGAGAACAAATAACAGAAACAACAGGACAGTGGAGGTAATATTCAGGTCATTTTCATTCTAACTTTAGAAGCAGCAGAAAGCAAATGTTTGGTTCTTTGCAGAATTTGGATCACTAGAAGATAACAACTGGAGCAATCTACTACCAAAGATACAAACCATGGAAACCAGGGATAGACATTAGGCCCCCACATCACACCCCATGCTATAAGGCCATGAAAATGCAAGAACGGAGATATACACGCCTGTGCTGGACAAGGAGAAATCAGCTCTAGGAGCACACAGCGTGGTGGAGAAGACCCTACAAGGTCCAGGTTGCAGATGAAGATGGACTCAAAGGAGGGGATAAGAAAGGATATGGCCTCGGATATATATGCAAATCAATTGTTCAGGTCTGAGAAATCCGGTGGGGGGTCTCGGGCTTCTCTCACTGACCTATTGCTGTACTCTGTGCGTGAATGTGCTTGGCAAACCCTTCAGAATGAGCGAGTTCTGGTAGCTTCTCTGCCTCTGCCTGTTGGCAACTCCAGAGGGACTGGTTCTTACTGGGGGATCCACTGTTTCTCAGGGGAGGTTGGGAATAGACTCAGGAAGGTATCCATGGCGACGGTCCAGAGACGGGAGCAGCGAGCGAGCCGCCCTGGAGATGAGACAGCACTGGACCCGGACTGTGGGGTGCAGCTTGTTCACAGGTACTCTGCGAGCCCCTCAGCGTTCCCGGGCTCACTGGAGGGTACGCCGTCTCTGCTGTGTGTACAAAATGCCTCATTACTGCCCATTTTGAACCGAATGGTCCCCTCCCAAATTCATATGTTGAAGCCTGAATTCCTACTGTGGTATTTAAAAGAGGGGCCTTTGGGAAATAAGTTGGCCTGGACGAGATCATGAAGGTGGGGCCCCCAGGATGGGATGAATGTCCTTCCACAAAAGAAGAGATAATTATAACAAAGAGAAGCCTTACTCTCCTTGATGTGTAAAGAGACACCTACAGGCCAAAACCTGAGAGCCCTCGCGGGGAGCTAAGTCTGCCGAAACCTTGGTCTTGGACTTGACCTCTTAGACTGCAGAATTATGAGAATAGATGTTTTTTGTTTCAGCCCTGTGGCCTTTGCTGCCATACAGTAGGCCAGACAGACTCAGGCATCACTGTTGCTCCCTGTCCCTTGGTAGCCCTTCATGCCCCGTGCAGTTCACCCCCATAAGACACTTCTTATGCTTTAGGTCAGAAGCCACAGCTGCTACCATAGCGACTGTAGCCAGGCCCCTGTCCTTGCCCCGCCACTGGCAGGCTCTGTTTAGACTTCAAATCTCTTCCTGCTCTGCTGAGTATGCAGCGGCACCACCTCCACACTCAAATTCTCCCTCCTGCAAGCAGTCTGATCCGGCAGGGATGTCGAGAAAACAGAACAGGCAAGAAGGGGATGATCTAGAAAACTCTGAGTTGACCAATCTATTCACTTGAAAGTGAACTTATTTTAAAGCTAGGTTCATTTTGAAAGGATAGAACTTGGTGTCTCTGCAGTAGGAAACATTCTATAGGGTAATTCTTACCTCGATCTTTCTGTGTTTCTCTTACAGGCGTTCCCCTGGGCCCTACCATCCGGCAGTCACCGCAACAATGAGGCAGCACATTGTTAAATGTGTGTAAAATTACTTGTGACCAGAATCAAATCTTGTTGTGACGGGGAACATACCGGCCCAAACTTAAGGACGCTGACAGACTTCCAGGCTGAAGAAGACCCAAAGGTGATGAGAGCTGACCGCCCAGCTGTTCCCATGCACAGTAACCCGGGCGGGAGGAGCAGCGTGGTGTGTGACAAGTTGGCAGCAACTCGGGCCACCCTGAGGCACGCTCAGATGGAGAACAAGGAAGAATATTACATATTTGAACTCTGGCAATTTTTACTCTTCAGCTATGAAGGGCAGGAGAGCGAATGCTGTCACTAAAGGTGTCCATTCCCAGGGGCTCCCGAGAATGCCGCGCGGTCACGCTTAGTGCTTCTGATGATGCCCTAGGCAGAAAGTCACGCCTGCACCTGGAAGGAGGCTACAGTTTTTTGGCACAATGACATTTTTATGGAGAAGTTTGTCACTATTTGTCTGGTACTGTGATTTCTACCGAGGTCAGAGCTGAGGGAGAAACCCAGCATTGACCGCATTCCTCGGCCCCACCACGGAGGGCAGGTGTGCACCGCCCAAGCGGAAAACCACAAGGTTGTTTTGTTGAATGGAAAATTACTCACCTAAGGTCTGGTCCAGCAGTTAGGTCATGTTTGTTCTTAGAAACAGCCTCAGCTGAGGGTGTAGAGTATGTGGGCGCCTTGTCTTCCATGCACCTTCATGACGCCACTGTTGCTGTCATCAGCAGATGAGCTACCCCCTCCCCCATGTGCATGTTTGCGTTCTAGCACGGGCACACAGAAAAGCGGTGCTTTGCAAAGGCCTTTGTTAGCTGTGCATTAGGCTCTGATTCAAGGTGGTATTGACTCTCACAATCCGAATGCAAAAATAGGCAGAACAAAGCAGACAGCTCTGTCTCCAGATACTCCTTACACATTCCAGCTTTTTTCTGAGCCAATGACCATGTTACATGAGGATGGGACATTTCACATTTAGGTTGTGCTGGCTGCTGTTCTCTCCAAAAGAAAGTGGAAGAAATTTATTGGCAAAAAGCATGGGAAAGCCTCGCAAGTGCAAAGATTAGCAAATTACAAGGATATGCAGATTAATATATAAATTATGTGCAATGAATATCCTACTCTCACCATGAAAGAAGACATCCGATTCCACGGGTTTCTAAGGATAGTCTTCTACTTGACCAGAGTTTTGTGGATTGGGGAGAAATGCTGTCTAGAAACTGTGAAGATAAAAGGGATTTTCCAACACCAAACACTAACATCAAGTGAAGTTAGCACAAAAATAAATCACACTTAGGAACGTTGACATAAACATTCTAAATGAAGCAGTGCCAGAAACAAGGAGTAGTAAGCTTCGATCAAGCGTGGTTATTCCAAGAGTGCTAACATGGTTTAACACCAATAATTTGCTAACATAATTCCTCCTATTGTGTTAGCAAAGAATTTCAATATGTTTGATAAAGTTCAATATACATTTATGTCATAAACTCTTAAGAAAAACAGAATAAATACAATCTTTGTTTTTTCTTTTTGGTGCTGGGAATCAAACCCAGAATTTCTCATAAGCCAGATAAGTGCTCTATGTCTGAGCTACATCCCCAGCACCAATAGATACAATCTTCTGCTTACAAATACAGATACCCCCTTTCCCCAGACCGGAAATCAGCGTTGTCCTTAATGGTGAAACACCAAAATGATCCCTTACAGTGTTGTCAAATGAGCAGCAAGACAAGGACGTGAATCACCTTGCTGTAACCATTAGAATATGCTCACTGAAGGAAACTGGGGGGAAAAAAGTGGCACTTGAAAATTGGAAAAAAGAGGAAAAATTAATACTATTTGCAAAAGTTGTAGTTGTCCACATGGACTATTTAGAGTACCAACTGAAAACTCATCAGCAGCACCATGAAAATTCAGCAGAAAGCCCCATGCCTCACCTAGGTTAGTAAATTTATGAACTATAATGACAAAGGATCACATTAACAATAATAAAAAACCCCAAAAACAAATATAAAAGGAAATGTGCAGAACACATATAGTAAAATTCTTAACCCTCTTAAAGGACATTTTAAAAAGACTTCAGTAAATAGAAATGTGTATCTTAGTCTTATGGAGCAAAACTCAAAAATCTAAAGATTTCAATTTTTCTAAATCAATATGGAAATTTGGTGTAATTAATCTGATGCAAAATGCCACCATAACTTTTTTCTTAATTTGACAAACTCATCTTCATGTTAAGTTAAAGTAAGGACTTAGGGATAGCCGGGAGGGACCTGGAAAAATGATTAGAGGAGTGGGCTGAGGGAGGAAGCAGCCTTAGCACACCTGTGAAAGCGGCCTGGGGTAGCGTAGTTTGCTACTGGGGCAGAATGAAGCGATCACATCTGGAGACAGGCATGAAAGACTGGCAGCGGCTCAGCGCAGCGCTCCTCCAGAAAACGACGTCGTAGGCCCAAGGCCTGGAACTGGTGTTCGAGCCTCACATCCTCAGACCCTCTTGCTCCTCAATCAGCCCTACCTCAGTGTGTCCACATCAGGGAACACCTCTCCACGGCTGCTTGAGAACCCATGTTTCGTTCCCCCAGGGACTTTCCTAATAGAAAGCTCAACCCGTGTTGATTCTCCAGACTAAGAAATCTGAAGGAAAGGAAATAACAACGGTGTTTTTATGGGGATGATGAAGGTGATACCTTGTCTTCCTTAGCTACCAGATTTTTTATTAATAAGATTTCTCTTTAGGTCACTTTTGGACTTACAGAAATATCGAACAGAAAATACCAAGAGTTCCCATACATCCCATCTCGCTACCTATGCCTCACCCCCACAAACCCCTCCACTGTTGACATTCGGCCTTAGTGTCACACGTTTGTCACAGCTGATACACCAATACTGACGCACTCGTCCTAACTAAAGCGCACAGCGGGTGTGAAGGTTCCCTCAGTGCTGTACGGTCTGCGGGGTTGAACACAGACTCCACACGGCATCATGTGTCCACCGTGACGGTGCCATCCCCGCAGCTCCCGGATGACTTTTCAACGTTGAAACGAGACAGGAGGAAAGGAAGACCTCTTTTGACACTGAGAGGCTTGGAAATACTTCGCTTTTTTCCTTTAACACGTGACTTTATTGACTGCAAGTTATTTACCAGTTGGAAATCAGTGCAGTCGTCTTTTGCCAGGTCCTTATTCCCCCAACTAGTCTCGTGTGAATAATGTTACCAATAAGAACAAATTATCCCCCTGCATTTACTACAGTAGCCTCACGACTTACACTTAGCAATACTTTTAAAAATAGAATATGGGTGTGAGAGCTACACCCGCCCTGGGGTGGATAGTTTGCATATATAAGGGAGAGGTGGGTGTATTGATTTATAAATCCTGCTTCTCCCTTTAATAACATGGAACTTACAGCCTTTGTAAATTGATCTAAAACACACGAAACACAGTGACTTCTTGAGTCATCGGTTCCTAAAATCCACAACACCGATCTCCTCATGCCATTAGTTTCTCATCTAAAAATGTGACAGTTAATGTTCTTCTTTTTAAAATCAGGCAATGAGAGTCTTACAGGAAAAGGAAGGCATTTATTATAGACTGGTCAGATGAAAAGGTACGTAATTCATACAGCACTTTTCTTCATTGGAACTTGTCTTCCTTCCGTGCGCTTTGCTGTTAACAGAGAGAAAGAAAGGAGGGTCAGAGGTCACTGCAGATATCTACGTCCCTGCATAGGCTCCCGCGACCCAGGATTCTTGAGGCACATCTAAGGTGGCACGAGAGAGCAAAGCAAGTGTACAAAGCAACAAGCTCAGTGAATAAAGAATGAGAGACACCTACAGGAAGCAGGGGTAATCAAGGGAGGAGGACACAGACACGCCCTCAGGAAGGAAGCTCAGGTCTCACAAAGCAGAGGGCCAGACAGACCGCCAAAGAAAGGCTCTGGTGTGGTGTTGGGAGGCCAGTCTTGTGGTGTGAGGGGAGGAAAGGAACCTGTGAAGTCAGTACAGGAGAAGGCCGGCCATAGCTGTGGGCATGGTACTGGGGTAGGAACGTTCATCCATCCATCCATTCATCACCCTTTCAGTAACCATGAGAGCAGTGAACATTCATTGGGGGTTACGGAGACAAAAAGATATGATCCTGAACTCAAGAAAATAGAAAAGATAGAGGTGGTGTGAGTACAGTGTGGTAAATGCAAATACAGGGACACTTTTGTGCAGGAAACTCCAAGGAAAAGCACTCCTGGATGAGACAGGTGAGCTGCACTTGGTGGGTGAGGCAAGGGGCTGCCTCCCAGCAGCAGGGGCCGGGGAGTGAAGGTGAGAACCAGAGAGCACTGGCAGAAATAGTCAGCTCTGTGACACCCCTGACATGACCTCAGAGGTGGACAGAAGCAGGACACAGAGCTGGGGCACCCACGAGACCCCACCGTGGGGCAGTGGATGATTGCTCCTGCGCCTTGCTGCTCGGGAGCTGAGACTCCAGCTTTCAGGTGAGCAGGCCCTGGAGCCAGTAAGGACTCATGTTAAGAAACACAGCACCACAGCCTTTGGGGAGAACAAGATGAAACTGGCAGGAAGATACGGAGCCATCTTCAGGCTAGAGATGAAGAGGCCCGAAGTGGAGCACACAGTGCAGAAAGAGGGAAGAGCATCTCAGCGGAGGGATCAGCAGGACATGGCGACCGCTGGATGAAGAAGGGGAAAGGCTGGAGATGAACCTGCCTCAGGCCTGGGTCATCAAGGAGATGAGCTGGGCACGAGAGGAAGGGCAAGTCCAGGGAGGAATTCCATTTGGAGTGTTCCGACGGAGCGACAGCAAGCAGCTGTTCACTCAAGCCTGGAGTCCAAGGCAGCAGGACGGGAGAATTCCTCAGAGCATCACAGCCTGAGGATGCCCAGGTCACCTAGGGAGGGAGGGCGCGGAGCGGAGGGAGAGCCGGCCAAGTCCAGGCCCTGGGAACAAACATTGTCCCCCGAGGAACGGTAGGGAGAAGAGGAATCCGTGAAGAAAAGGAAGAAGTCTTGGCCCTGAGCCATAAAACCTCCATGGCAGAGGATTTCGGGAAAGGAGCGGCCCTGCCGTCCAAAGTGGCCGTGGGGCTCCACAGAAACGGGGTGGCCGTGGGGACCAGAAGGCAGCCGGGGCACCGCTTACCAAGTGGATTCCTGCCAGTGCGTGAAGAGAGAGTGGGCGAGGTGTAGGGGGCAGCAACACAGAGAGTTCTCTTTAAGGTGTAGGCTGAGACAGGAATAAGAGACATCAAAGCGAAGCCAGAGACAACCTGGGTGTTGGGCACCCATCGTGCAGTAAATCCTACTTACTCCGAGCTTCTGGACTTCGGAATTCACCGACTCATTAATATTTATTTTTACGCCCCAAAGCAGTTCTCTTTCATTCTGAGGCAGTCAGGGAGGTAAAAAAAATAAGTCATCCTCCCCACACATCCGCAGCCACAGCCAAATAAGCCCTTCTTGTTTCAGGTTTTGTCCTCTAAACAAGTGTCCTTTTCGAGGTCTATCTAGGGTGACTTTTTTTGCACCTTTTGTTGAGGGTTCCATTATTTAAAATGGTCCCCTCATACAGCGCCCTCTAGTGGTCCTAGAAGGCTGTGACGTGCATTGTGGAGAAAACCGGATGTCAGATGAGCGCCTTTCAGGCCTGAGTTCTAACCCGGTTGGCCACGAATTCCGTTTCAATGAATCAACAAAGTGCACTAAATAAGGCAACTGCGCGGTACACACGGAAGTCATACACTGAACCCCTGCGGAAAATATTGGGACCAGAGGCTCAGAGGCACCCAAAGTGATATTTCTTGAAGGAGCAAGGGTTCAACATTCACAAATTCAGTATTTACAGCGTTTACAGACCACAGTGAGAATCGTGAGAATCCACTGCTCTCGGTGGAGAAACCGATAGTGCTTGAGCATCAGAGTGAGGTGTAACTGAATCGAGCTGCCTGTGGCCAGTTTTCTACCTCTGGAGCCTTGGGTGGGTCTTTATCTTCCTCTCGAGTATCAGGCTCCCCTCAGCAAGCAGGGTATCATGGGAAAGCATGACAAGAAGCTCTTGCTAGTGAGTCAAATATCTGAATTAGCGAAACCACTCCCCACGCTGACAGAGGTGGCCAGCCTTCCCGCACCCACAGGGCTCACGGTGGGTAGGTGTGTTGCCAAGACTTCTAAAGTCTTACCTTCCGTTATTTTTGCTAATTTTGCCACACAGGGGATTGAACCAGGGCCTCCTACATGTTAGGCAAATGCTCTACCACTAAGCCACGTCCACAGAACCCATGTTGGCGAGTGCACATCTAGCTCCATGTAACATATGACAGATGTAGCTCAAATAAAGAGTGCTTGAGGTTTTGGCTTCTCATGCTGTCTTCTCAACATGGAGGTATGAGCGTCACAAGAGAAAAACAAAGCCTTCAAAGCAAGCAATAAGAGGCAAGTCTGAATCCTAACACTACCTCCGGAAGCAGGCACCCCTATGTACTACTGATTTTTCATCTGTAAAGTAGAGAGATTATAATACAGCTTCAATTGGACTGTTGCATGGCTAATCTAAGGCAGTGCGCATGGGAGCCCTAGAAGGTCATGATCTTCCTGGATGCGGGGGGCCCAGAGCCAAGTGAGCATTTGATGAACATTACGGAACAAATGGAGAACGTAGGAGGTTCAGTCTTCCCACCATGTACTAGGCGGCCCAAGTTTTCAGGCAGAACTGCCTCCTTTGCTGCTCATGGACAGTGTAAGAATGCCATGTACAGCCAGGAGCGGTGGTGCGTAGCTGTGATCCCACTACTCTGGGAGACTGAGGAAAGAGGATTGCAAATTCAAGCCCAGCCTGGGCAACTTAACGATTTAGAGAAACTGCCCGAAATTTTTTTAAAAAAATAAAAAGCTCTCGGGATGTAGCTCAGCTCAAAGGCCCTTTGTTCAATCCCCAGTACTGCAAGAAAATAAAAATATTTTTAAAATCCATGCCAATCCACACTTCAGGGCCAAGGAAGGTACACTGCTCATGTTGCCCTGGTTCGGGTGCTGAGTATCTTCCAGCCACTACATAACTGGTTTTTCAAACAATGAAGATCAAGAAAGTATAGGACTCTCAAACACACTCCTTGCAACGTGAGACTTGGGCCCTGATTTTCTGTATTTCCTACTTTAGAGTTCAGATAAGAAAACATTTTAGACTTCTTTTGTTAAATACTTCAGCCACTCATCTATTAAATCATTTTCGAGCAGCCTGAAAGAGTTCTAGAATAATATTTATGAAATTATAAAAACACTGACTCAGCTTCTACTTTATTCCAGAGGCAGATCACACTCTGGGGATTCCATGACAAATGTGCCGAAATCTCAGCTGTCAAACAGCTTCCCAGAAGAAAAATGTCACTCAGAGTTTGAGAATCATAATCTTGTTTTTGGCTGGTTCTTCCTTCCTTCCTCCCATCTTGAATGATTCTAATGCAATGTTCTTAGCATCATGAAATTGATGAAGATATTGTAGTCGCATATCATTAATACTTTTACTTGTTCTTAAACTAAAATCATTGGGATAACAAGGAAATTCATCCTCAGTGAACAGAACACAGTAGGAAGCCTTCGGAGGCACCGAGCCCTGAGAGGTGAAGGGGCTGAGAGGACGACGGTAGGCAGCAGAACAGATTCAGAACCAGCCCTGCTGATCCCAGGCCTCATCACTGGACCCCCTGTGCCGGCCTTTCCAGCCTTGTTTCATGACTCTGGAAAACACAGTGCAGACACTTCCTTTGCTAAAGGTCAAGGGAGGGGCTGCAATCAAAGTCAGTGGCCAGGTCAGGGCCGCTACATTTCTTCACTCTGTGCTGTCTTTAAAGATGTGTTGTAGGTGACCGATTTCTTTGTAGCCATCAGACAATGTATTTATACTGTGAAATATGTGTGTATATACACCTAATGAGACCATATGATTAATACATAAAACACAGCCAAAACCCACTGAGAATTCTAATCTCCCTCCAGCCCCAGATGCTTTATAAAACAAAACATTATTATATTTATAAAAAAGAAATACAGTGCATCTGTTTCTTCATAATGAGTAGTTTCTTGATCTCAGTGTGAAGCTAGATTTTATTTTTAGTGTGTACCACAGATTAAAATGAAATCACAGTATTTGCGTCTTTCATCCAAGATGGCCTCAGTGGTGAATTTTCCATTTCAGTAAAATGTCAGTTGACTTCTTTCAAATTCTAGCTGTTAAAAATTAATTATCCTATGCTTAATTTTTTAGCAAAAGAACCCCAAGAACCCAAAGTAAATAATTCCATCATCCGCTAAAAAATACTTGCTGAGTACTGATGTACTGAGGCTCCCTGGCTATGGGCAGGAGACAATGGTGGAGGAAGTGCCCTGCTCTCAGGAGCCTTGGGATGAGGATCTATGGATGCCCAAGAGGGACATTAGCATTGTTTGGTGGTGGTGGTTTGTGGAGTCAGAGTAACCCTCCCAAGGGAAGCAACAACCTAGCTACCAGCAGAATGGTGAGGCAGGAGTAGCCAGGATGATCTAGGTGAGGCTCTAGAGGGAGGAACAGCGAGTATTTCAGTACTGCTGGACCTAGGGGCAAGGTGAGTTGGGAGAGATGGGTCTGGAGATGTGGGCACAGCCAGGTCACAAAGGTCACCTTGAGCCACACTGGAGCCTGTGGACTTTGCCCTGAAGGTGCACCATGTTACATAAACAGTGAAGCGTGCAGATGCTCAAGCTCCATTATGTGTGTGCAAAAGTACGCACAGAACAACATCTATAATTGCATCTTAAATTCCTCTTAAATGTGCCCTTTATAGTGTCCCCATAGACTTGAGAGTCTTCATAAAGCTACATTTGCTCCAATCTCTGGGAACAACTGGGAATCTCTACACCGGTAGATTGTAATCTTGAGGGTGAGTGTCACAAGTGGGGGCTCAGGCTCCAGCGATAGAGCAGATGTGAAGGGTGTTCTTCTAGGCTCAGTGTCTGGCTTTTCACAGCTCTGCTTCCTCCACAAGCAAAGCTAGCACCAGGGGTTGAAGTGGACAAGGATCAGAATACCCTCTGTGTTTAAGATAAAGCCAAGAAAAGCATACAAAGTGGGATCAGGACCAAGGCGAGGATGCAGTCAAGGCTCGAGAAAACGTCAGGGTGAAATCAACCACACTGGACCACTGGGGATACTCAGAAAAGACCAAGACGAGGAAGAGTCCGTGATGCCCCATGGTTTTCAGCTTAAGCAAATCCGGCGGACGATGATGCCACCAATCAAGAAAGGGAGTTTGGCAAGAAAGCGGTTGCATTTCAGGAGTTTGCAGGGGACGCAGGGCAATGGGCAGCTGACCTGAGGGCCTGGAGCTCAGCTGGGGCTGGGGGAGAGACCCACACTGGAAGATGATTATGTGTCAGTGATGGTTCAAGTCAAACAAGAGGAGGTGACAGAGTCATCTCTACAGTAGAGAAAGAATTGGGCTAAAGACATACTACAGATGGCCAAAGTATTTAAATTCCGGATCTAGAAAAGGAAGTCAGGTCAGAGTTCAGAGTTCAATAAAAGCCAGCTTGCAAAAAAGCAGACAAGTGAACGGAAGGCGGGGAGGTGGAGGTAGCAGCTTCAGACCACAGTGTGTGTGTGAGGTCGGCTGGGAAGGACGAGCAAATGATGGGGCGGGCACCGGGATGAGCAGCACTGGGTCAAAGGAAGGGGCTGCTCTTTGTCCTTTGTTCGCTGTTAGAGACGAGACAGGTGACGGCGTCCGTGGTGATAGACACAGGCTGCGGGCTCAGCAGATTGACGGGACAGTCGGGCACAGCAGCTGGAGGAGGCAGAGGGGACTGGAAGGCAGGTGGGGGTGAGCACACATTACACGGACTTCATGGTGGAGACACATCTGTGTCAGCCATTCCTTACCTGCAGTGTCACTCAAAGGCGCCGTTCATCCTTGCTCTGTGCCGGTAGTTGGGGAACCTTCTGTTTGTAGGAGGAAAACCCCTTCTCAGGAGCTCTGAAAATGAAGGGGGAGCAGGGTCTCCATGGGTCACAATGACCCAGGACCACAGGGACCAGCAGACTGTAAGTCACTCAGGAGGATTCACCTGGAATAGCCTAAGTCCACTCTGCCAAGGGACAGAGCAGCGCCATCCGTCGTCTTCCTATGGAGCTCTCCCACCCCGGCTGTGTCACGGAGGGGCCCGGAGCTGATTCCCCCCACTCTGCATCACTGCCCGTGATTTGTCTCAGCCACTACTGCAAGTCCTGGAGGGCAGGGGCTGTCACATTTCTTTTTCAGTCCTCCTGAGATCTGCCCAGAGCGTGTCACACACATTTGCTGAATTGAATTAAATTGGCACATTTAAGGCCCTCTCGGAGACAGCTGCACATCCACATCAATGACGCCCCCAAGGCGCAAACTGTACTTAGAACTTGGCTTGGAGACACCTTCTGAGGTCATGTTGATTTATATCCACACAGTACTTTTCTCTCTAATGGTATTTGTTCGATGCCATAGCCTCCAGGGTGGCCTTCTGGGCTCACCCACTTGGGCAGTCCCCTCCCAGGGGCCAGGCTTGGTCTGCTGGGTCACAATGGCCCATGATTAAGGCATGAGAGGCTGTCCCTTCTCCCTCCCCACTGTCACTGGGAAATCTAGCTGTCATATTTGGAAGACATTCATCAGACACCACAGAAACACATATGGAAGCTCAGGAAGGACTGCGACCTTCCGGCAGCACTGTGAGTGAGGTTGAAAGTGGATCCCCTGACCCAGTCAAGCTCCAGCTGAGACTAAAGCCCTAGCCTACATCTTGTCTGCAACCTTGTTATCATCTAACCTCTATACTCCATAAACTAAGTTGCACCTGGGCTCTTGATCCCCACTGAGATAAAAAATAAATGTTTCTTGTTTTAAACTGTTAAATTTTGGGCTTTGATACACAGCAATACATAGCTAACCTGCCCATGGTGGTCATTCATACAAATTGTCAAATTTATTTCTACACTACTCTTGGCTATTTACACAATCAAACCCATGGGGAAATACGTGTGCCCATTACAGAGATTCAAGAATGGGTCGTAGATTCTGAGGACAACTCCAAGAGAAGTGCTCCAAAGAACATTTTCAGTAGTGGTCACACTGATAGTAACTGTTTATTTTTCCCAAGTGATAACTTGATAGAAGTATAAACCAGCTTCATTTTCTTAAAAGGAAGCTTCAGGTCTAATCCTAACATTGTGACAGGGGTGACAATGATCAGAGTTCCCTGCAATGCTAAGTATCTGTGCATCTGTTGTAACGGGGGATGCAGAACACAGGGAGGATTTCACCAGGCTCTAGGAGGGCTCTAGGAGGGCACCATGAGAAACGCATGGCTGCAGAGTCACAGGCCTGTCCGAAGTCCCGTCTCTGCCCCTGACTGTCTGGATCAAAGTCCCACACAGGCAGTGTAGCCCTGAGGAAGGTGCAGCAGCTCGCAAAGCCTAGTTTGCTACCCAGAAGGTGGGGAGGAATACAGTGCTGACTGGAGCGGGGAGGGGGTTGCTGCAGGAGGAACCTGACAAGCAGTGAGGACAGGCATCTGATGGTGCCAGTCCGTGCCCTGAGTTGGGAACACACTTGGCCAACCGTGGAGATTAAGCGAGGAAATTGAGCTTCCAGGGGAAGGAGGAAGTTTGGTTGTACCTGGCCATGAAACACCAGTGGTGACACTACTTTAAAACAGCTCCAGGCAGGGCTGGAAGGAAGGCCACTTGTGCTGCTTTCCTGAGCTGGATTTGGCTGGTTTAGTTTGGTTTGGTTTGGTTTGGTTTGGTTTGGTTTGGTTTGGTTTGGTTTGGTTTGGTTCTGTTCTGTTCTGTTCTGTTTTTGTGTGTGTTTGTGACAGGGTCTCATTTACAGGCTGCCGGCCTTACTTGAGATTCTCCTGCCTCAGCCCCACAGAGGACTTGATATTCTGTTCGGTTGCTGGTATCTTCTAAGGAAGTTAGTAACTCAAAGTTATCTTTTCAATGATTTGCCAACCAACTTTACACGTTACTAATCTTTCTCATTTTCACTTAATATATTTCGTATTTTAAGTGACATGTCATCACCACAGACTGGGCTCATCAGAAAAGGATCTTCATACTGAAGGAAATAATCACTTACCAAGTGACCGATCGTAGAACTGTTCACTTCTGGATTCCTCAGAAATGAGACCTATAACACAGTAATCATCATAAGACAAAACTCCTCCATCCACTTCCGGAATGCTCTAGGATTGTGTAATTGTTGCCATAAATATCTTGTCCTACTCCTCCTCCTTCTCCTCCTTCTTTTTAGCTATCTCTGGAATTCTTCATTAAGGTTTTCACAAAATACAAAGCTCAAACATAATTGTCTACATCCATCACAAAATCCACCACAGAACCAAATATCTGGCTAACACACAAACATAAAGATGTTTTTCATTTTTAAAAACATAAATAACGACGATGTTCACAGTTGCACAGTGTCCTCAGTGTGTTGTGATCTGACAGCTCCAGGTTGCAGCTCCTGTGTTTATGGTACCTGTACCCTGTGGTCAGGATATACTGCCCGCCGGCAACAAAGGGCCCTGTGGGTCCAGTCCTGAAAGTGACACACAACCCAAGAAACACTCTTTGGAAGCAGGGAAGCGGGAGACTACAAGAGCTGTGCTGCCACTAGTACCAATGAGAAAATCATCAGGGATATAAGCAAGGCTCCAAAATCATAGAACACTAACCCAGTTCCACTGCAAATTGCAAGCCATAGAAGAAGGACAAAAGGAGGCCCCTTCCTCCCCCAGCCATGACACAGAAGCGGTTAGCTCTGGTCACAAGGCTGGGGCACCTAAGAGTCCAGCCCAACCAGGCAGATAAGGCTGAGTCCTGATCCTCCTCCCCTGCACACTGCTGCACACCTGGGCCTTAAAACCTAGAGAGTGCACCAGGGAGGAGCAAGTGCTCAATTCGGGGACCCACTTAGGGAGAAGCCAACCCCATCCCTGGCTGTTTTCAGATGTTGGAGCCATCAAATGGAATCATGCATGGAAAAGCTCTGCAAAAATGTAAAGAAACATCTAAATAAATAGTTACATCATTATTATAAAAGCAAAACAAAATGTTTATTTTCCTAATTACTATAACCGTTCAAATGTAGTTTCATTTTCCATAAATTTCTACCTTTAACTGATTCACTAACAAAGGGCTGTAATATGAAATTGCTTCAAGGGGAATAAACATTAAAAAAAAAAAAGATCTCAACTTACCAAGTAGATAATTGTTTCTCCATTTATAGGATCTTCCCATGTCCCCAAAAATCATCTAAAGAAATTTAGGCATCAATATGTATCAGCACATGAAAGAAAAGAACAAAATATACTATAAAGAACTATAACTATTATCTAGAGGACTTTGATATATATTGCATTAATGAAATAAAGGTGTATGAGGTAGGATCAAAACATACACTGAACGTTTCAATTCTTAGGATTATTACAGTAAAAGCCACATTGCCATCAGTCTCCATTAGAATCCTCCCCTCACTTCAAACACACACAGCTCATCATTCTCGCCACCCTCTGAAGCAGCTCTGGAGTCCACTTTCTTTTGCGAATGTTTAGTTTCACTGTCGAAGCTGCCTCAGTGTACTAAATCTGGTCAGAGAATTTACGTTTCATGGTCAATTACGGCTTTGGGAAAGAGCCAGAAGTCACAGGACACCAGATCTGAATGCAGAGACACTGTAATGTTTTTATTCGGCAGCAACTGCTGAATCAAGCAGCAATGAAACTATATTCACCAAAAAGGATTTCTAGAACTGCTTCAGAAAGTGACCAGAATGATGGGAAATGTGTTTGAAGTGACGGGGACTATTTTGAAGAAGATTAATGGCAATGTGTCATTTACTGTGACACATTTTTTAAAATGTTAAAACACTCATACTTTGTGATCGCACTTATCTATCAGGTAAGTTCATATGCTGTCACACATATGCGTTCAAGGAAGCACACGGGGAAGACCAGCCTAAGTAAGGTTTAGATCGACTCCAAAGTTTCCGGTGACACAGAACACACTACCAAATGCTGTGGACCAGAAATGGAAATTTGACTTATAAACCTGCGAAAAACTGAGTTAGGGTAGAGTTTTGGAGTTTTCTATGAGCTGTTGGTAGTATCTGCAGTAGAACAAGGCGTCCACGTGCGGTTTTCATGAAACGACCGACAGTCGACACAACAGACACAGACAGCGGGGTGACGGCTTGGCGCCCAGCCATCCTTCCCCTGCGCCTCTCCATCTGCAGTGGCCACAGTGAGTCCTCTGGCCCCTGGTGATGACCGGCTCGAGAGAGGGCACATGCCAACACGGCTCGGTGATGAAGGAGCAGTCTTCTTAACGAATAATGTTGCCACAACTGGAGACCACATGCAAAGGAATGAACTGGGCCCTTGCCTCCCAGTTCAGTGCAATGGGCTGTAAATTTAAATCTCACACAAAAAGGAAAAGAGAGACATTGGACTTAACAAAGGGCATCATCAAATGAAAAGACACAAAGTGGGAGAAAACATTTGCAAATAACTCAATAATCAGAAGAAAGTAACTCAAACATCAAGAGGAAAGGAACGGAATAAGATTTCTCCAAAGAAGATACAGATTTTCCCCCTTTAGTGATCTATCTATTTAACAACTATTCAGACTTACGACCCATCATGCTTTTTTAATATAATTCTGTACATCTTATTTACAGAGCCTAATGGCTTTTTTTGGTACAATGCACCTACTTTATATAGTAGTGTAATTTTTGCTGATGGTACTGTACAGTATAGTACTGTAGTTTTCTGTTCCTTTATATATTACAGTACTACATGTAAGAGTTATGCAGATAAAAGTAAAGTCATCAAGTCGGTGTTTCCTTTGGCCACTTCTTTGTCTTAAATAACGTAAAATAGATATTATGTACAATTCATTTTTTAGCGACCAATTCATTTAGTGGCCCAGCTGCAGAAACAGGACTTAGTTGTTAAATGAGGAATGTCTCTGTACAAGTGACCATGCATTAGTTGGTAGGAAGATACAAATTAAATCACCTCACACCCACTAGAATGGCTAAAGAAAACAATGACAATAACAAATGTTGGCAAGAATGTGTTAAACCTGAAGTCTTCATACATTGCTGCTATGGGAAAAATTTTGACAGTTCCTCAAAAATTAAAAGTGACTATAACCAGCAATTCTGCTCAGAATGGAATTAGAAACTATCCCCACAAAAATGGGACATGAATGATCCTGACATTATTATTCACAAAAGTCAGAAAGTGGAAAAATCCAAATGCTGTTCAGCTACTGAGAGTACATCAAATATGGCATATCCACACAATGGAAAATTATTCAACAACAAGACAAATGAAGTTCTTTTCATTTCTTTTTGTATGCTACCTGTAAATATGTTCATACACTCTATGATGTATATATATACATACTCCCTCAAACATTATACTAATTGAAATAAGACAATAACAAAAGGACACATATTGTGTGATTTTACCTATATGCAATGGCCAGAATTTTACTTATAGGAAATTAATACAAACAGTAGGTCAGTGGTCACTAAGGGTTGGGTAAATGAGGAATATAGAACAATTCATTTCAGGAATCTGTTTTCAGGATGATGAAAATGTTCTGAATGTACATAGTGTGGGCAATTTTCTTTGTGAAGGTACTAAAAACTTCTACACTGTACACATTGAAAAAGGTGAACTGTATGGGATAAATGTGAATTCTATTTCCAACAGTACTTTATTTGTTCAGAATTATGTCTTGATAAAAGTACTATTTTAAAATGAGAGACTAAAAACATTAGGGGCTGGGGGTGTAACTCAGTGGCAGAGCATATGCCTAACATGTGCCAGACTTTTGGGTCAATCCCCAGCACCCACATACACAAAATCACATTGTACTTGGTAGATATACACAACATCTAAAAATCAATAAATAATCAATAGCATTATATGTGTGAAAGAGGAACATGTGACCTAACCAGGCCAATGAGAGCTGGGAATTTTCCAACTAGAGCTGGAAAAAACTGCTTCCTTCTCCTGCTATCAGAGGAGGTGTCTCTGGAGTAGGTGGGGCTTTATTTCCTTATTAGCGAGCGGGATGAAAGGGGATTGAGAGAGAGAGCAAGAGACAGAGAGGAGAAGGAGGTGGAAAGAGAAAAAAGAAGAGGAGGAGGAGGGAGCAAGAAGAGAAAGGAGAGGAGGCCGAGGACCAGAAAAGGACAAGGTCAAGGAGAACATGATGGTGTCCACAGTGCAGAAGTTTCCTGAATTTAGTCCTACGTGAAGTCAACACTTCCCTTTCTGTCGAGAAATGTGACCCAGGAAATTATCTCCTTTTGCCCTCAACTACTGCTATTCAGGGAGATTAGAGTACTTAACTTCTCTCTTCTGATATGGAAAGCAATCAACTGTCTGCTCCCTTGACCTAGAATTCCTTTTGCTATTCTTCCTCGGTTTCTCTCTCTTGGCTGAAACCCTAGTCAAGCTTTTCCCCATCCATCCAAACTGGAAGAGCTCCTGGACACCAAGTTCCTTGGCCAGAAACTGGAGAAAAGGGGGAGCCTCTATCTGCCAGCTTCCGCAGGGCACTCTGGGTGGCAGGGCACCTTCCTGTGGCCCAGGGCACACTCATGTGCTATATAGAAGCCTTTCATCTACTGGTTTCTCATTCAAAATTAAAAATAAAAAGGACTAGAAACTTCCCATAATTCAAATATTTATGATGTCAAGGAGAGGTGAATGTTTGCAAATTTAGAAATTTATTTCCAGTTTCTTTACAGTTATAATACTCTTTTGAAAAAGCCATGAAGGAGCAAATTCAAATTTATAACCTTCAGAATAGTTTCCCTAACATGTCCTTCCCAGATAGTTTCCACTAGATCTAAGTCTTTATTGGTTGTAATTTGGATTTTTGGCTTTACTTTTTATGGCTTCCATCTTTTTTGATATTACGTTCCTCATTCTGAAAGTTCTTCTGTATTTTACATATGTTTTTAAAATCATCTTTATTTTTAATACTCTGGGACTTTAAAAAATTTTTTTCTATTTCTAACAGTACTTTCTTTGTTCTATCACTGCATTCATTCTAGCCTATTTTCTTCTTGTCTGTAATATCTCCATGTATTTCACTGAAAATAGTCTCAGCTGTGTTCTATTTCTCTGTTTCATGTAAGAATTCTTTCTATGATATATACACATTGCATTGTGCCTCATAAATATGCACAAGTATTATTTGTCAAATAATTTTTTAAAAATTTAAAAAGAAATCCATTTTCTGCTTTTTTCTTTTCCTTTTAAAATGTAGAATTCTTCAATACGTGGGATTCTTCTCTTTTTAGCTTGCTCTTCATTCTCTATGATCTCCTAATCTTTAAGGACAAGCAGCGCTGGAGTTCACTTTAAAGTCCAGTTTGTTCCTAGGGCTGACATAATTAGCAGAAAACTTGGAATAAGAAGAAAGAAAGTGCACTACCCATGCACATAGAAAGTTGCAACAGATTTTTGAGTTGCACAATCAGATGGATTTTCCCAATCAAAGTCAAAGAGGGGTGAAACTAGGTGACATTTATGAATGTCAGTTCCATTGTGTTGAAGGTCATGGAATGAACTAGAATCCACTTCTCCCCATGGTTACCCAGGCAGCCTTCTCTATCACCATTTCTTCCCACCTTCTCGGGCTCAATATTTACACTCCTCTCCTTCCAATAAATTCTTCCTTTGAGTCTGCACTCCTGCCAAAAAAGCCTTCAGTCTCTTCCACTTCACTACGAGGAAGCCAGGGATGCTTGCCATGACCTAAGGCACAGTGGTACTCACCTCCAGCCTACCTATGTACTTCTCCCCCAGATTTTGCTTATTCCAATCCTAATAGATTTCTGTATATTTCAACCCAAGCTCTGTCCATTTCCATCCATTTCAATCCAACTTCTGTCCATTTCTTTTGCATGTGATTTCTCTCCTCCACACCACACTGGTCCTCTTCTTCTGACTTCCATCCACCCTCTGATGCTTGGGTCAGATGCCTGCTTCTCAGAGCAGATATCTCCCCATCATCCAGATACTCATTCCTCTGGCTCCGTGGCCCCAAGTGCTTGTGTTATTGATGGAGTAACTTCTGCCTAACTAACACCCACCCACACTAGTCTATTACATGCTACAGGACTACCCCTATGTTTGTCTATTTCCTCACGGACTCTGCTCCCCACCATAAATCACTGAAAAACCACACTAGCAAATTTCTAGTAAAAGATAAGTGCAGTCCTTGTCATTTCTAAGTTAGCTGTGTATGAGTGTATCATCAGGAAGCATGAGTGTGTAACAGAGTTAGGAAAGGAGGTACCTGGTACTTATCCCAGCACCGAGAAGGGAGAATGCTTAAACTACAGCTCAGTGCTGCAAGCTCAGAAATCACCTGCAGATTGTTGGCCCTCAAAAGTCACCAGTGTGAATGAGAACAACCAAGAAGATTGTGCCAACTTAATTCTTTTTTCCCTCTGCATCGAGAAGACTCTCCCTGCAATAGTGTTATAGCTTGTATTTCTCTGTCTCCCTGAAGCCTCATGTGCTCATAGATGGAGCTTTTCAGAGGTGGCTGGATCGAAGGCATGTTATACTGGATTAAGGGTATATAATTGGATTAGTCCACTGATTGAATTAGTGTGGTTCCAAGTGTGCCTGGATGAATTTAGTGAAGACAGAAGCCCCATTTTGGGTGTGAATGGCACCAGCAAATTGGCTTGTAGCTTGGATGGACTATAAAGGGAAAGGCAAGCTCAATGCTTGCTGCTTCCTGCCTGCCCTGCCATGGACTGTTTCTCCTTTGCGATGCCCCTCTGCCACGCCACCCTGCTTTGGAGCCAGCCGATTACGGACTGAAACCTTTACAGACTGTGAGCTTGTGGGTGTTAGGTATTTTGTCCCAACAAGGACAAAGTAACTAAGATGAGTAGGGTTCCTCAGTCGTGAGTTCCATGACTCCCTTATTCTACGATGGACTTCCTTAGCAAACATGTAAGGATGGTGATGAGAATAACGTGAAGATGCTAACTTTTATGTGTAATGCTCGGAGTTGAAATTTTATACTCTTTTACCATAATTTTCAGCACAGAATTAAGTTTTGGAAAGTTGGATAAAAATAAAAGATGTAGAGAAAAGTGATAGACAGGTTCAGCTGTATAATAGTGGGAAAAAAATTGAAATACCTGTCAAGACTATTATCCAGCAGTGAATGAACAAATAATGAAACTGTGATATTTTTATCTCTAGTTTAGAGTTAAGAATCTTCATCATCACACTGTATTCTTGAGCATTTCTTCCCTAACTTTCTTGTATTCATTCAACAAGTATTTACTGGACATTTACCTTGTGTAAACATTGTCCTAGGCTGGCAAAACAACAAACATTTCCTGCTTTCAGGAGACATGCCGGCTCTTAAGGAAAGCAGTCAATAAATAGGTAAATAAATAAATATATAATATGGTTATTTCAAGTCAGAATTTATATTATTCATTTTATAATATTTTTGAAAATCATTTCTGATATAATTAGAGAAAAAGAATTCTGCCATTCAGGGAGCACTTATCATGAGCCAGACACTACAGCTGGTGTTTCATTTCCATGAACTTACTTGATTCTCTCAACAACCTCTAAGTGGCCTTTATTACTAGCATTTAGCAGACACAAAGCTGCAGATAATGAAGGTTAAATGAAGGTTAAGGATGCAGACACACTGCAGACCTAGGAAATAGTGTTGAACACAACAACAAGAAAAACTCCCTTCTTCATTCCACTAATGTACAGATTTAGATCTAAAACGTCAATGATTTGCTCATTGTTACTTTAAAATCATATCCCAAATCTCAGAAAGGAGATGGGCAAGAATAAAAGTATGTATACACAAGGGAGCACTACCCTGCCACAAAGAAGGACAGATTTGAGTCATTTGCAGGAGAATGGATGCACCTCGAGACTGTGTCCTTAAATGAAACAAACCAGATGCAGACACTTCAGTGCATAGTTTCTCCTATATGAGAAAGCCAATATATATATACAGAGCAAGATAAAAGGTAGCTACTGGGAAATAGGGTGATAGCTCTTTTGCAAAAGGGATGAGGACCAAGAGCTGGAGGGAGAGGGAGGGGAAGGGGAGGGGATGAAAACAGCAGTAAGGTGTGTTATGTGCATGGACCAACTCCGCACAATGAATGCAACATTCGTTATGCACTGCAAACGTGTACGAAAAAAGAACAGGCTGGAAGAAGCCGGAGACGCAAACAGGGAGACCGTGGGTGCCCGAGGGAGAGTCCCCTGTATAAGCAGTCACGCCTACCCAAGCTTGGGTGACGAGCCAGTCACCCTGGTCAGCCCTCTGCTTTGCACAGAGCCGCACAGTGCCTAAGGGGTGCAGTCTGGAAGGAGGTGAAGCCCCCATACCTCCTCGCTGCTGTTGGACTCGGACGTGTCGGACCAGCGGCAGTGAGCCCGCACTTGCTGCACCTGCTCGCCCGACATCCGCACGGTGCTTCTGCAGGCTGCAGTTTGCTGGAAGAGACAAGGCCTGAGTTACTTCTCCAGCCCCGGCAGCGGGGGCCAGTGTCTGCGCCAAATGGTGGGCAATGCTCGGGGCTGAAGAAAATAATGCTGAAAGGGAGAATTCACAGAGGCACTTAAGTTGTCCAAAATGAAAACTTTCTAAGACCTACTCAGAAACAAATGAAACATTTAAATATGTCTGAGGTACCCGATATATTACAAGTCTCCGGGAAACACCTACATGGCCTCTTTCGTGAGCACTGCTTTGGACGGCCTGGAGTGCATTCTCATTTGAACAACAACAGAGGATAAGGAGCTCACAGGCCTCTGCCCTCAGATTTCCCTAGGAGCAGAGGCTTGCCACCTTTTGGTTGGGGTCCTTGGTAAAGCGCAGTCATACTGAAAATGTCATGAGATAAATAACAGTCCTGTTGGAAGTGGTAAGAGCTTGAGAAGCCGTGCAAGTGAGTGGGGACCCAGGGAAAGCAAGTTCGGGAGGGAGGACATTGCCCGCTCAGAGGAGGTTTCCACCCACAGGGGCTGACTGCAGGTTGAATCCCACTCTGGTCTCAGGGATTCTGTAATGAACGTGCTGTGTGCCTGACTCCTGGAATCTGAAGGAAGAGGGGCCACAGAGTGTGCAGGGGTCACTACACAGCGCATGCCCCGTGCCAAGAAAACAGTTGCGTTGTACATTCTCTCAGAACGAAATTGAAGTGTCTGGATTTCCCTCTGGCGTTGGCCTCTTTGTACTCACTTTACCTGATACAAATTCATCCCCATTTTATTACAATTACTATTTTAGTTTCCTTTTTATTAGTATATGTCTGTAATCCCTAATAATTACACTCATCTTGGGAAACTGGTACACATCTGTACTGCATCTTAATCATCGTTACTTCCCCTTATCGCCGCCCTCCCATCTCCCCCATCCCCAGACTCTCTTCATCCTCATTTTAGCAGGAAACTGAGGCACCAAGGGTTAAAGAATTTCCCTGGATCCCTCAGGACTACACATTCCACAGCTCAAGAGCTCATGTCCTCAATCACTATCACCGCTAGGGACACTGCGAGGACCCAGTGGTGTGGCCAGGTGACAGCCAGGCAGTGGCCAAGCTCTTTCAGCTGGGGCTCAGGGAGGAGCAATGCCCCTTCTGTGTTAGTTTCTGGGCCCAGGTCCTTTTCCGCCACACTCACCACGTAGTAGCCCCTCTGGAAGGCACATGCAGATGGGTCTTCTCCGGAGTCTGTCAGGCACATGGTTTCCCGAACGCTGAACTCTAAACTCATGAGCACACTGTCCTCATCCAGAGCATTCACCTTCACAGAAACAAAGTGATGCAAAAACAAATGTGACATATGCATTTCTGAAGTTCATAGAGCTAGACGTGGTTTTTTCTGCCCAATCAAAAGACATTTACAGAATCATCCACTGTGAAGCTGAACATTCCTTGCTTTCATGCCTCCGATCTGAAGCCCAGAGAGGAAAAGTGACAGATTTCCTCATACAATTTATTCTACTGACAAAAATGAAACCAAACTGTAGGCTAGCTTCCGAAGATTTCCATCGATTACTGATCTTCAGGATTCAAGAGTTCCTCACTGAAAACTTGCCTACTCGCTAAGCTTTATTGGAAGTGCAACATTAATATTTGCTGCACTCTTGCTTCCATCCATGAGCTGGTACAGAGTGGAAAGTAATTTGAGTCACCTAACATGTATTTCCTGACTGAAGTCTAACAAGGCAGTACTCTGCCTTCCTATTTTGGCTCTCAGATGTGAACAGCTATGCCTTTTATGGCTTATTCACTGACAGAGCTTTTGCATTTTGGAGCTTTTTGTGGGTAAATTTGGCCCCCAAGCCTTGCGCTGAAGAGCTGCCCAGCATTCTGAAAGTCAAACAACTACGATGTATGTGCTTTATGGAGAAAATACAACATATTGTTAGACAAACTTCGTTTAGGTAGGAATTATCATGGCCTTGGCAGTGGGTTCGATGTTAATGAATTTATAGCATCTATTGAACTAGGCATCCGCAAACAGGAACTAACAAAAAATATAGGGTTGTGTATTAACAGGTCACCAAAAGTGTTATAACCCAGGACCTCCAAGAAATTAACCTTGTATTTCCCTAGGGGCAATGATTCGGTATTTGCAAATTCAGTGTTTATGGCAATTTTATAAAACATACTTTCCACCAAGAGCAAGAATCAACTGTATGGGTTTTTCAGTACTTAGGCAACAAGCACCTCTCTGCTGTATAGCGTCACCCAACCCTGGCTTGGGTGTAAGCAGTTCTCATGATGGAATAAATTCCTATGACTTTCTGTTTCTCTCCACCAAGAGTGGATACTGGGGGCACTGTCCAAACTTCCTGATAAACCTGTGCCATTCTGATAACAAAGAAATGTTGTGATTCTCTGAGAACTTGGAACAACAGCACAGCCATGACAGTAGGGACAAAGTTACCACTTTAGGAAAGTACAAGGAAAACCCTCCAGAAGAAGGAAACTATATCCTGAGACTTGAAGGGTGGGAGGGAACCACTGTCACACACGGAAAGCAGAGCCAGTGCTCTGGAACAAACCAAGCCCAACCCATGGGGTGGAGTAGCATGAACAAGGGTTGATCCGTTCACCATGATGTCGGAGAGATGGGCCATGGATGGTCCCGCAGCCCAGGGGTGGGGGTTTACAGAGAAAAGACCCAACCAGGGCTTTTTCCATCCCAGTCTTTTTGGCAAATGCTCACTTGGTCATACTTAGTATTTTCTCCTGAACAGAAGACCTTTCTCAACCGGGCTGAGAGTTCTCCAAGTCTTTCTGTTCCATCGCCCTTCTAATTATAAATTCCACCTTCAAATCATTTCTCTCTTCACTCATCTTGCTATAGGTTGCTGAGAGAAGAAACGGCACACCTGGTGTGCTTTGCTGCTCAGTTTATCACTCTTAAACTGTGCTTTTCTCCAACACCCTCACAAACGGCTGTGATTCAGTCAAAGGCTTTGTGACTGTACAACCAGGGCGATTTTTACTGTGGCTTCTCTCAGTTTGTTCCTTACATCTGTGTGAGACCTCTTCAGAAAGGCATTTACTATTCATATTTCTGCCAACATTTTGCTTACAAACTTCTCAATAAACCCAAAGAAGGTTTAGGCTCTCTCAAGAGTTCTTATCTACTTTCCATTCATGGGAATCTAGGCATGTTCTAAGATTATTCTCCAAATTCTTCTATGCTCTATCCACTACCCAGTTCCCAAGCAGCTTCTGCGTTTTAAGGTACTTATTATAAGAACAGCCCTACATTTTAGTACCAACTTTCTGTCTTACTACATTTAATACTTTTACTCGAAAATATCTGAGACTGGAACAAGGTTTATTTTTCTTGCCCTTCTGGAGGCTGAGAAGTCCAAGATTGAAGACTGAATTAGATGAGGGACTTCTTGCTGTATAATAGCATGGAAGAAAACATCCTACGGCAAAAGAATACAAGACGGGGCAGGTGCCAAACTCATAGTTTTATCAGGAATCCACTTTTGCAGTAATCTATGATGATAGAGCACCCATGACCTGATCACTTGTTAGCAAGATCTTACCTCTCACCACTTGCATGGAGTTATTCTAGCATGTGGACTTTGGAGAACACACTCAGATACATCAGTGTGTACACACACACACACATACACACACACACACACAGCCAGTTATGCTTCTCTGGAAAACCCTCACTAATATAGTGATCGTTAGGTTTTTCAAATGAATCCCTTATTAGTGGACAAAGAGGAAAGATCAGAAATAGCTACCTATGCATAATTGAGAAAAACAAAAAATGCAAAGAGAATAAAATGTAAAAATGGACAGCAAATAGGCATGGACACAAAAAATCCTCACATCCCATCTTCACCTTGAGATGTATCCTGAGAACAATGTTCCCCCCATCCTCCTGCCCCCACCTTGGGGATCAGCCACTAACACTGCTGCCCTTATCTGAGTGAGTCCCCAAGCATAAGCCAAAATAAACTTCTTTTCTTTATAAATTACTCAGTCTCAAGTTTTCTGTCATAGCATCAGAAAATGGACTGCTAAATTTTGAACATGTCCTCTAAAAGTTTGTATATATTGGAAATTTGGTCCAGTGCAGTGGTATTGGAGTGTAAGAGCTCTTTGAGCTGATTTGATAATGAGGGCTTTACCATCCTGAGTAGATTAATCCCTTCATGAGTTAATAGCCAGTCATTGGAGTGGCTTTGTCATAAAAATGAACTCTGTCTGGCATGTTTATTCTCTTCTGCTACATGATGCCTTATACCATATTGTGAGTCAACAAAAAGTCCTTCACTAGAAGTAGGGTAGATGCTGCCACCATGCTCTTGGATTTCTCAGTCTGCAGAATTGTGAGATAAATAGCCTATTTTCTTTATAAATCATCATGTCTCATGTATTTCATTATAGCAACAAATATGGACTAGCACATGACCTAAGACAACTGCCTATATGAGTTCCATGCCAGCATTTTACTAGTCTTGACCTCCTCCCATCTACCTAACTCTGCCCAGCAAATAAAGAGATTGCAATAGACTGAATGCAATAGACTTAATTTATATATTAAAAGCCCAATCCTAGTATGATGGCATTTGGAGGTGGGGTCTTCAGGAGGTGATTACATCTTGAGGATGGAACCCTCATGAATGGGATTAGTGGCCCTATTATAGGAAGAGGGCCAGAGATCTCTTTGTGCCATGTGAGGATATGAAAAGAAGTGGCCTTCTACAACCTAAAAGATGGATCTCACCAGAACCTGGCATTCTCACTCTCTGATCTGGAGCTTCTTGCTGGATAAAGCACCAGCCTCCAGAGCTATGAGAAACAAATTCTACTTGTTTATAGGTCACCCAGTCTGCAGCACATTGTTTCTGACTAAGACAGAGATGTCTGTTTAAAGTCTCTCCAAGGGATACCTATTGCCCTAACTCTTCAAGGTCTTGACTTATAAGTCCCAGCTCACCCCAATCTCTCTGACCTCACTCCATCACTATCCTTCTCTATCTGGTTAACAGGGTGCTAGTTATCCTTTATTTTAAGTCCTTTTGTCCTTTGGGATTTTCTTAGTGGCTTTCCTCTGCACTCCCCTAGCCTCCCTTCACAGGTCTTCCCATGGCTGAAACAGCTTATCATTCCAATGAATCTTAGCTCAAACATGACATCCTCAGTGAAGGTTTTCACCTCATCTGATTGCTGCCCCAGCCTAAGCACCTCCATCTGTCAACCCATTTTACCTTATACTTTTCACTTACCACCTCCTACAATGAACTTTTCATTCACTTATTTTTTGCCATCTCTGTGATAGTTGGAATGGACTGTCAACTTGATTGCTTTGATAGCTGCCCAGGAAATTACTAAAGCGTAATTATGAGTATGTCTATGTGGGTTATGGAGGTGTAATCTTCGGTACTATATCAGCTTCCCTGCCACCATGAAGTGAGCACCTTGTTCCACCATGATGTTTCTGCCTTGTTGATCATGGAATGAAACCTATGAAACTGTGACTCAGATAAACCTCTCCTCCTTTAAACTGTAGTGTCAGGCATTGTATCCCGCTAATGGGAAAGCTGACTAATACAGAATGGCACCAAGAGCATGCTCATTGCTGTGACTGTACCTGACTATATAAGTGCTTCAGAAGCCTTTGGAACTGGTTTCCAGGAAGAGTTTGGAGAAGTAGGCAAGAGAAACCCTAGAATGCTTTAAGCAGAGACTAATGGGAAATTCTGGTCAGATCTCAGAAGACTAGAATGCTGATAGAAATGTGGACAGTAAAGTCCAGGCTTATAAGATTTCAGATGGGAACAAGAGCTCTATTGAGAATTGGGCCACAGACCATGGGTGCTACATTCTGGCAAAGAACTTGTCTACATTTTCCCCATGTCCCATAAAACTTTACATGAGACTCACTGATAGTAGACTACTTAGTCAGGCAAAAGAAATTTTAAGGCACCCCCATATTCAGGCTGTATTGTAGCTGCTACTGGCTGCTTTTAGTCATATTTACAATGTAAATCAGGAGCAAAAAGCAGAGCATAAAGATTTGAAAAACATAAATTTTGGCCAAAAGAAATATGTAAAGTTGGGGCCAAAAGAGATGTGGTATCTGATAAGTTTAGCACCATTAAAAGGAAACCAAGTACTTTGTATAGGAATAAAAAGAAAGATGATGTTTAGGTATATTAGAAATCAGCAAGACCCAGCCCATCACAGGTTGAAGGGTGTAGAACTGTAAGCCTTCCATTTCACCACGGAGCTACTGGGACACCTTCCAAAGAAAGGCCATCTAGAGATCTGGCTCCCCAGGATTCATTTCACCATGCTCAGCCACTCAGGGACTGATGCAGCTATGATACAAAAAAACCGGCTACTGCTCAAGCTGGCAGTAGACATTAGTATCAACCACATAATACTACTTTATCAGGTAGACAGAATGCAAGAGTTTTGGGATATGGGGGCTTCTACCCAGATTTCAAAGAAAGACCTGAAAGGCCAGGCAGTGAGCCAAGCAGAGGACAATGTATGAAGTTGTAGAAATGAAGCCACAGTACAGTAGAGACCCTCGGAAGCTGGAAATGCCAGTAACATTAATGTCTGCTGAGGAGATCCACAGGCCATGCTCAGAGCCAGCCCAAGACAGAGACTATGTGGGCAGCAATTGGCAAGGCCATAGGGGTAGGGATACCCAAGCCCTATGGAGCTTGCATTTCATCATCATTTGCCTAGATGCCAGACATAGAGCTGTAGGACTTAATGTTTGCCCAGCTGGATTTTGGTTTTGTTCTGGTTCCATTCTTTTCTTTTTTATTTTATGGGGAAAAAAAATTTTCAAAACAAAATAATAGGAGAATAACAATAGTTACTATACTGTGTATTGTTATCTTCAAAATAGTTACTCAAGAGTACAAGATAAGGCATGAAAACTTGTCCAAATGATATTAGCACAAAGTTTCTTTTCAATGAACTAAGAGAAACTAGTAGTATAACTGTCTTACCTGTATTATTTTTTTTCCTTTTCCCTTCCTTCCTTTCTCCTTCCCCCACCCCAGTTCATTTTTCCTTTCGAACATTGTCTTCCCATTTCACAACTTCTATTGTACATTTTGGACCTTGTTTATTCCTTCAGCTTCTCACACCACGGAGACAATACAATGTTTACACATGTGAGTGATTTATTTCACTTATGAGTATGGTCTCAAGTTGTACCCATTTACCTATAAAAGTCTAAAGTTTATCTTTCTCTATGGCTGAGTAGTACTCCATTGGATAAAAAGACCATTTTTTTAATCCATTCCTCCTGATAGGTATTTGGATTGTTTCTAAGATCTAGCTATTATTAATTGTGCTGCTATAAAAATGAGTGCATATATATTGGTTCCATTTTTTTCTATCCTCCTAGTCCTACCTTATGAAATGTGGGTGTTTACCCGGTACCATTGACTATACAGAATATAACACTTGCTTTTGATTTTTACAGCAGTTCACAGCTAAGAGTTTGCCTTGAGACTTTAGACTTGGACTTTTGGGTAATACAGGAACTGTTTAGGGCATTAGTAAATTTAAAATTTTTAAATAGGGCAGTTATATCATGCTAGACAGAATTAGGATCATGTGTCTATTTATAGATTAAGTATGCTTTAAGGAAATATTTTTGGGTGTCAAGTTGACAAGGGGTGGAATGTGACAGTTAAGCTGAATTGTCAAATTAAATGGCTTGAGAGTCATCCGGGGGATTTGTGAAGCACGTTTTTTTAGTATGTTTGGGTCAGTCACGAAGTCATGACTTTGGGTACTGTATTTGGTCCCTGGCCTTTCCCCTCTGGTAGTGTTCCCCTGCTCTGCTTCCTGTCTGTCTTTTCTTTGTCCACTTGTGTCCACTGGGTGAACAATCTGGGTAAACTTTATATCAAGATTTCAGTAAGGAGACCATCACTGCTGTAGTCATGTCACCTCCCCTTTTTTCATCCTTTTTAAAACTTGGAATCTAAAAAGTAGAAACTTGAAATCAAGTGTGATGGTACTTGATTCAAGACTTTTGGTAAAACCCCATAGTTAATCACCCTCATTTCACATTAGAATGACCAGGATAGCCTCTGAGAATACAAACACCAACACTGACGATGGGGATTTAGTCATCCATCCCTCCTGGACATCCAGAATATCTAAAGTTCTTAGCTGATGCTAATGTGAACCCCAAGTCAAGGATGACCAGACTTCAAGAGTAAACTCAGGGATAAAATAGAAGTGTCTGACCTTTTCTCTAAGTCTACTGGACTCTACCCCAAAATACACATGAATAAACCACTTATTTCCTGCTCATGCATTTCTAGAAGTAAAATTATACAGTCAAAGGTTTAAAATATTTGCTAATTTTAATGCTGAATGTGCTTGAAAATACACTCAATAAATATTTCTAAATTTGTTCTTAAAGATAATTTTACCAAAATGCTGTAGAATTCTATACAGCAGTGATTGGGATGTCTTTCTCGCCTTGTCATTCTTCCTTTTCACCTCATTGCTTTAATTCTGATATTTTTTTTCTTTTTGGGTATTAATGTGATCAAGCGTGTTTTCCAAATTGTTCTTAATTCTTCTGTGCATGGTTCGTGCCCTCAGTGCCAGTAACCTGTCCCCTCAGCTCTCTCCTAAGGGCTTTGCTTCTCAGCAGATCTCCATGTCTATTGGGGAAGAGAGTCTAGGTGTATGTAGGGCCATCCACAGGGTGTGTATAAAAGATATGATTAACATAAAGCAAAACGCAAAACACTTCTCAGAGGAAAGACCAAAGGAGGCTGATCCTCTTAGACTGGACGAAATCACTGAAGAACAGAGCCTGGCGAACGTCACTTGACAGATGATTTTGAGTAATTAGAAGAGGCTGGAAAGAGGCAAAAACTGGCAGGCCTCCAGGTGGGACAGCAGCATACTTGAAGCAGCGAGGCATGTCTTACTTATGTACCCATAAGGATTACTCACTTTATCAGTAAGGGTGCTCAGTTTTAGATGCATGGGTATGGCCTCAGGTTTAAGTGACTATATTACAATGGTCCACATGCCAGAATGTGTCCTGGGTAGCTATGCTGTGTACTATCTCATGCCCCTAGGCCAGATTTCCTTGGTGTCCTTAATCAGTTTTCTCAGGGTCTTTTCTCATGCTCTTATTCATTTAATTTTTGTTCTGTAGTGAGCAATGGCTAAATTGCAAACAAAGTTAAGCTATATGTGCGAAAACTTGGCAAAAAGGCATAAATTCCACAACACTACAAGAAGACATCATTAAATATCATTTGAAAGATTTGAAAGACAATGGAAGCAGTACAGAAGGAAAAGTACTATTCATTCTGATCCTGTAATCTTCCAGGAACAGTTCATTCTCTGCCTGGGCAACTAACCAAACTGACCTCGCCGTATGTTCCTACCAGAACATCCAGGTCTAAGCAATACCATTTCCTGATCACGTCCCAGGAAAGGTGCCCAACTAAAGCATAACCCATAGAAATATGACCAATTAGAAAAAGCAACCAAGTCAATTCAATCGATTTGCTCAGATTTGAGAAAACAGACATAGAACCCATTTCTGCAGAAGAAGGTCAAGATAAATATGTTATATTTAGAGAGCAGAGCTAGGAAAGCATGAATCATGCTGTACATAGTACCTGGGGGGATAAGCCAAGTGTGAGCTGAGGAAGGACCCCAAAGAGACAGGAAAATGGAGCAGGATGCAGAGAGAGCAACAGGGGCAGAGAGAGAGAACCGGTAGCTGGTCCCCTTTCTTATTGCCAGGCAGCCTGCTTCTCCCTTCTCATTCCCAGGCCAAGTAACTTTACAGAACCTCCCACACCTCTCACCTTAACCTGAATTCTTGAGGGTATTTCTGTTCCTGCCTCCTGTGAGCCCCATTAAGGTGATAACAAGGCAGGGAAATCATTTGTGGAACAAGAAGGAGAGAGAGAAGTGCTGCCTCATTTTCTCATTTCCTCTAAAGGATGATTCTACAGTTCCCCCACGCCTTTCACAAATTCAATCATCGGAAGCTCAAAACGTTCCTCTCTCCCTAGTTCTCCAGGCTATCAGGAAATAGAATATTACCAAACTGACAAAGGAGGGTGGAGTTCTTTGACTCAAAAGCTGGAATTTATTTCCTCTAAGTAGTCAGAGCAGAGCTGCTGAATTGGAAAGGAGGCTCATTGCCAATAAATGAGCAGTTCTTAATAAAACACCACCGGAGGAGCCATGAGGATTTCAGGTCCAGAGGCAGAATGCGGAGAAAGAGAAGCCAAGGTCAGAGGGAAGGACACTGCAGAAGAGTCCAACATCCAAAGTAACTGGGAGAGTCTCAGAACAAGAATCATAATTAAATCCTTTCTCTGTCCAAAAGAACACACTGGTGTGAAAGAGCAGGCTTAATGTTATCTTTTTAAACTAGAAAAAATAAAAATGAGGGATCTACCCAACAAATGGACTGAAGACAAACAGTACAAAGAAGAGTAGAAGAGGCCTTTTCGTCCACTTACTCTTTTTAATGAGCTCCTGAACGCCCGAAACAGATATGGACTCAGTGACTGAGAGTTCACTTTTGCCACGGAGGCACTGAGGGCTTCTTGTAGAGCAGAAGGGTCATAGTCAAACACAGGGAAACCTGGACACAAGCACATGGTCACAGGAGATGAGACATCTGGCTAGGGTAGTGGTATATCTGAAGAGCAGGAGACCCTGTTGTTGGGTTCCTTACCTGAGCAAGGCCTGTAGTGCATTCCAAGGGCAAATATGATCAATATCTTCATCACTCTCTCCTCCATTGTAGGAAGAATAATTTTAATTCAGAGCCTCAGAGACTGTCTCTTTAGGGTGACAGTTCTCTCTGAGAACAGCTGAATTAATCAAATATGATCTAGTTGCTCTCTCTGATTTGTGCAGTCTGCAACTTAAACAGAAAGAATTGATCCTGGGGTCAATATTTACTGCTGACTTTTCCTATGGAAAAGTTCCAATTTCAGGTCACTTCTGAAGTTTAGACTTTGCTGAGGGACTTTAGCCCATAGCAAAAGACATCAAGAGGTTCAGGGCTCCACGTGTGCTGTTTATTTTCTCTATTTGCAATTTCATTCTTTCGGGGGACGGCATGTTCAACAAAACAGCTACCTTTCAGTTTTTGCTTATTCCACCCTTCTCATAGTACTCTCAGTAGACTATTTCTGAAAATCAGATGGGAATTTTGAGATGTGTTTTGGAAATTATTATTTCAAAAAAGAGAATTTTACAGGGGCTTTAAACATTCCAAGCAAAGCACAGGTGAAGTAAGAAACTGTGACACAATTCTGTTCACCAGTGTTCCTGCCGGTGGACAACTTTGCACACCGCCAGGATCTGCAGGTGTCTACACACTCATGATTCTTGTGCAGTATACAAACCCAAGGTAGGTTGTGAATTATTAGAAAGAGAAATGTTCTATGGGAAACATGGTGTGTGCTGCATATAGGTTATTGTGTGACTATTCATCACATCAACACATCAGACTGTGCTGTGGCTCAGAAAGCCCAGCCCTGGAATCTCGGCTCTGCTATGTACTCACTAGTGTGTCCTTGGTCACAGTACTCAACACCTCTGCAACTCCACCTCTCCATCTGTAAGATGGACATAAATGGATTGATGTCAGAGTTATGTGACAAAAGAGAACTAACAAGATGAATGGAGGGAAGAAGAAAGATCTGTTTAAGGAATTGGCTTTGGAGGCCTGGGAAGAGCTGCTGGCTGGTCCAAAGGCCAGCTGCTGGCAGAATCCCTTCCTGCTGGCCAGGCTTTTTCTGCTCAGGCCTTCAGCATGATGAATAAGCCCCGCTCCATACACACACAATGGAATCATCTGCTTTACTCAAACTCTATTGATTAAAATTTAGAATAACGTTTCTCAAAATGTTTCTCAAAATGTCCAGGTACCAAGAAATGTGTCTAGCCACTATGACATATCAAATGAGAGCTGATAACAAGCCCTGGGCATACGACTTGGAAACTGTGTTGGTCAGCTTTTCACCACGGAACCAAATAACTGAGACACACAACTTAAAGGGAGGGTTTATTTTTGCTCATGGTTCCAGAGGATTCAGTCCATGGCTAGCTGGTTCCAAGGCAGAAATGCCATGATGGAGGTGCATGGTGGAAGAAGGTGCTCACTTCATGATGGCCAGGAGGCAGAGCAAAGGAAGTGCCAGACAGGAAAGGGCAAGGAATCAGATATCGTATCCAAGGTGACACTTCCCTGACCCAGCTAGACACACTCAGAAGTGTGCTCTACTAATCCCATGCATGGCTCTGAGGCCAATCAGGTTAACGATGCAGGTTAACTGACACAGCAAATGAATGGCTCAGTAAACAGAACTGCCAGTAAGAATTAAAAAAAAATACTTTTGAGTATATGCTATGTGTGAGGGAACAGATCTAGAGAATATTTTGATTGGATTAGTACTCTAGCTCACCTTGTGTATAAAAAGCAAATATATGCACCAGCCAAAGAGGCCTCAATCCCTGTGGGAATTCAGACAGACCCTGACAAAGATTGGGGGATGGGTCATTGGCAGGAATTCATGAGTCTCTGGGAACTCAAGAGTCTTTTTCATCTCAGCCTTGATGGTTGCAAAGTCATCCAACAGGAGAGAAGGTAACTTTGCCAAGAAAAAGAACAGAAAGGGAAAGACAGGGAAGGGAACCATCGCATTTGCTAAAAGATGCAGTATGGTGTCACAGCATTCCCCAGGAGCAGGCCAGCAAGCAGGAAGAGACCTAAATATAGCAGGGTGTGATCCAGGAATGGCTATGGTATCAAACTTAAATTGTCACTGCACATGTAAGCAACCTTAGTCATCAAAATCCAGCCGTGGTTTTGCCTGTTTCCAGTGTCACTGCCCTGTGATACATCCTTTGGCCAAGCAAAATCATGTTTCTGATGATTTCTCTTACTCACCGAACCATGAAGATCCCTTGAATACTCACTGCCTTGACTCAAAGGTGTTCTCTCTACAAATTATTCATCAGCACCTTGGCACAAAGATGTGTTTAGAATCCCGGGACAACTTGAGTGTCTAAGTGCACATTGTTCACTCAACTACAGCTCCAGGCCAGCACTTTGTGACTGCTCTCCACCGCCTCACAGACCACCCTTCCTCTCTTACCAGATTCTAGTGCTCCTGGGTCCTTGGTCATCCAAGTGTCCCTGGAGCTGGCAGTCCCCAAAGGGCTCATGTGTTGAAGGCTTGATGCTCAGCTTTGCACAACTGAAAGGTGGTGGGAACCTTTAAAAGGTAGCCCTCGTGGGGCGTTTTAGGTCACTGCAACTTCCTCAAAAGAGATTGGAGGTCCCAGGCTCTTCCCTGGACTCTCTCCTCATTTGATCGTGAGGTGAACAGTCTGTTCCACTACACCCTGCCAGCATAGTATACTGTGCCACACAGGCCCAGAGCCCACAAGGCAGGCCAGCCTTCAACAGAAATCTTCAAAACTGTGAGAGAAATAAACCTTTCCTCTTTAAAATTGGACTATCTCAGGTATTTTGTTATAGTAATGAAAGCTGATGAACATAGACTCCAAATAACTTTCACCGCAGGCTTTTGTATTTATCGTTTCCTCTGACAATAAAAATGGTGTTCTTTTCATTGTTCCCAGAGTCAGCTGATCACCAGTATTCAAGTCACAGCCTAAACAGCACCTCCTCGGAGAGACGCTTGGGCCAGCCTCCTGCCTCCACTTCCTTCCCCTAGCCTCTCCCCACGTGCTCTCTGCTTCCCGCTTCCTTGCATTTATCACATGTGCATAGACACCTTACTATTCATTTGTGATTGTCTTTCTTCTGGAGTAGACTACAAGCTCTGTGAACTAGGGACTGTGATTCTCTGCTCTGTGTCCCTGAGACACTCAAAGGAGAATTCGAGGAAGTACTTGTTGAATGAGTGAGTGAGAGAATCCACTTGGTATCTCAGAACTTTATTCTAAGTCTTTCCGTTTGAAGCAGGCACTAATTTCTATCATGTAACAGGTACCCTGGACAGTGTGCTAGGAGGTGGTGACCACTGAAATTTGTAATGCTATTGCTTTTGACCTGATCTGAACTCAATTCCATTAGTCTTCCAGATTTAACTAATGGAACCATGTGGCTGCAAACTCCATGGCCTCGTTAAATGAACAGTAGTAATAAAAATAATTGTAAAAGAGTAGGGGAGATTAAAGAGACAACAATAAAATACTGTTGCCAGCACAGGGTTATTGATTTTGTTTGCAGCTTGCTGGTGTGGGAACAGATTTCCACATCGCTCAGATTCTCTTGGCTACAATTATAGGTTAACACCAGGCATGCAGGGCAGGCACTGATTGGTGCTAAAAAGCAGTGATTTAAAAAGGCCTCTGCAGAGTTCTGTCATGTGTAGTAAAGCTACAAGATTAAACATAAGCCATCCATTGAAATGCAGGCCACAGTGATTTCCTTTGCTATTTCTTCTCCAGTCTACAGAAATGTGAACGGCATTAATTCCACCAATTTTCTTCTGTTCCAGCAAAAATCATTTAGGTATTAAAAATTATGTGGTAGTAAGTGAAAAGTGCTGTATACCTTTTCAATGTAGTCCCTGGATATTTATTTAAATTAGTCACAGAAAGTTTAACGACAGGAATTGGGAGCATACTGAATTAAGATGAGTGAGTGCCCTGGTATGGGCTAGAATCACTGTGGTCATCTTTATCATTTCTTTTGGGATTCTTTATTCCATTTTTGTCATATCTGCAATAATATTATTGAAAAAAATCACTAACTTTGAAGCAAACATGAACCAAATCTTCATCTGATCCATAAACCACAGATTTTGTAGCTGCTTTCCAATTCTTTAGCATGATCTCTAAACCTCGGATTGCCGCTGTCAAGATTTGCCTTGATGGCCTAGAGTCATGCCCTTTCTATGTTCTGGAAATGTTAATGTCACTGTTGTGCTTATTCCTATAAGAGAGGTCGTGTTTATCTATAGAGCAGAGCAGTGCAGAGCAGGAGCTACACTGGGAGGATATGAAAAGACTCATTCTCTAGCCCCTCCCACAATCAGTGCACCAAGAACCTAGACAGACCTAGATGCCTGCATTTTACAAGCTCCCATGGAAATCGGAGACACAATGACTGAAAGCCATGGTTCTGAACCAGGGTAACTTTGCCCATCAGGGCATTTGGAAATGTCATAGACACTTCCAATAGTCACATCTACAGCGCAGGATGTGACCATCGTGTTGCGGGTAGAAGCCAGAGGTGCTTCCAGGTATCCAACTGTACACAGGATAGCCCCATGACAAAGAGTCACCTGCTCAAAACATCACTGAAGAAGAAACTCCAAAGAGTGGCCTAATTTCTCCAAAACTCATGAATGTAAATGTGTGTTACAGGCAAACAAAGAAAATCATGGTTCTGAATTCTTAGAGGAAGAAAAAGGAAGTAGATTTCTTCACTCTGGACCTCTCAGCTCCAGACATGCTATTGTACACAGTGAATCCTAACAAAATTCCTGGAAGCCCTTACTTACTGCATAACTGGAGGGGCTAAAACACACCAGGTGTCTTCCTGATGATTGTTAAGGCACATTACCATAACAAAAAGATGTTTAAGTCATATTGTTACCAGCAAGATTTGAGGAGGTTGGACTAGAGAGGCAGTGGGGGCCTCACTTTGGCTTGATGAGGTCCTTGATGCCTTGTCACAGAGAAGCATTTTAGGACACACTGGGATGAAGAAATGAAGTTGCTTTTTATAGTGGGCCTGAGGTGAGCCAGGGTCTCTCTGATCACTGTAACAGCTCTGGTCTTGCAAGATGGCTGTGCAAGAAATTCTTATTGCTTGACAGGGTGATTTGGCTTGCAAAGCAGAGTGATTTGGTTTCCCTGAGATGATAGTGTCTG